CAAGTTCCATGATCACGTTTGCAATTTCTGGAGGGGTAGTCCAAATGTCGACTTGCTTCAAGAGGTCTTTGATTCCAAAGCAGGATGAAGAGTTATCTTCTAAGACTTTAAGCAGATCAACATCAAAAGCTTTCTCCTTAATTTCCTTGAGAAGTTTGTCACTAGGCGCATTTGCAGACTGACCACCAGAGGCAGTCGATGAGCTATAGCATTTGTTAGTTGAACTGCCCCTTGCACTCAGAATTGCCTTCAGTTATTCTGCTGGTTTGTTTTTCTTCAAATTGTCTAGTTCTTCTTAGGAGAGAATAATGTTTGCTCCGATAGAAAGAGCTTTAAATTCCTTGACAGTCTCAGAGGCCTGGTTAGTCTTGGGTGTTTCGTTTGGTCCCGCATCATCATCATCATCATTATCATCATCATCATCATCTTCTTCTTCTTCTTAATCTTAAGGGTTGTGCACATAGTCGAACAAGGGTTAACCTTCTTCTTGGTATTCTTCCTCATCTGGGGCGTTATCGCCTTGGTTGATTTCTGGCGAAGAGTTATCAACTTTTTCATGAACAACTTCCTCTATGTTTTGGATTTCTATTGTTTCTTCAACTTCCATGGTGTGTTGTTCTTCATCTTCCTCCTCATGATCAGAACCAGTGGTCTAAGATTGTCGGGTGGTGTCCTTTGGGGGTGATTTTTCATGTTGTCCTTCAGTGGGTTCATTTACTTTGCCCATGGATCCTTTGGTCGATTCCTTGTTGGATGTGGGTTGGTGCCAAGGAGTGTTGGTGATCCTAGGGATAGTGCATTTGATGCTTGATTATTTGACACCATCTGTGTTATCCTACAAAAGAAGTCGAGTTATGATGAGTCGAAAATAAAAGAAGAGGAAAATGGTTAAGGAAAATAGATGTAAATTATATTACCTTATGACCATCTGTACCAGGGTTAGAATTTCAAGGGTGCTCTTGGGGGTAGGTTTGGGACTAACCTTAGTTACTTTTGGAGTGATGGGTTTCTTCTGCTTAAGTTTAATGATATTGGTTTTGGTTGGGAAGCGGCATCAGAAACCTCCGCTTTATTCTTTTTCATGACAACTTTAGAAGTGTCTGGCGAAAGTTTGTCATCATCTGATTCGACTACTTGAACCTGAGGTTCTTTCGCCTTTCATTTCTTGGGAGTCAGAGGAGGTTTTCAATTTACCTGAAAATAACAAAAAATTAGCATATTAAGATAATACATCAAGCTAAATAAGGAAAACACAAGTGTAACTTTGTTGCTGGTTTGGTGTTTTCTTCTTCTTGGCCTTCGTTTTTGGTCAAACTGACAGTTTTCTTTACTAGACCTTTTGCTAGTTGTTTTCGTTCGGCGACTAAAATAGGAAGAGATAAAAACAATTGCCACAAGTGAAAAAGATGTCAAGAAGTTGTTAGAAGAAAAAATGAATTAAATTGAAAATTCCTCTTATTCCATACCTTCATATATGGGAGAGAGGACTTGAATATCCTTTATGCCAATATGAAGATGTCCTTTGAAACTGTCCAGGGTATACTTAGTCAGAACCACCAGTTTCTCCAGTTTTTCAGAGTCTTGTCGAAGGATTTTCACAAAGTCCCCATAGACGAACCAGTCGGGAAACAGAGGGCTAAAGGCCACGCCGAAATCAGTCGTTGGCAGTCGAGGGAATCTTGGTGGATGTGAGTTAAAAGCTAGTTTACACACGTGTTCAGGTTTAACGTATGAAGGTAGTTTTAAATTGGGGAATTTCTTCATAAATTTCTCTCTCAAAGTAACTGTTGCTTCGTGGATGGTTCGACTAAGGTCATCAGGTCTGTAGGCAGTTTCAAAGTATTTTTGAAAATTTTGGATGTCCTTGATATGAGTCAGAGTACCTTTCTTGGATCTATCATATATAAGAGCAAAAGCAAATGTTAAATTTTGATTGAAAGCATTAACATGAAACATTTATGTGGAGTAGTATTGTTTCCACCAAGTATCATATTCTTGGGAACATAAGTACAATGGTCCGAAAGGAATAGGAGTGAGATGAGTGGTGCTAATGTATTGAGGCATTTCTTGATTTCTTTGAGCCTTAGTAAAGTACATGTTGTAAAGTATAACAAAGCTCTTCTTTGGAAAAAGGGGCTTGGGCAAGATCTGGTTAAGACCAAACTGTCGAGAGATAAGATTTGGTTGATATCTAAGGAGGATTATTTGATTTTTGGAAGGTCAAAGTCTTTTTGCAATCAGTTTGGGTGTCAGGAATGCCCCCCATATGGCCAAGGATTCTATTTCTTAATCCTTTGAAGTAGGAGGAAATTTTCTAGTAAACCATTTTGGGCCATGAGTCCTTTTGGAGAAAGGAGCCATAGAAGGAGTAAATTTGTAATGCTTGGCATGCATCATTAAATACTCTGTGAAAGTCTTCTGAAGATTTAGGCTTTTGTCATTAGGAGTCAATTGGACGAGGTGTGTCCCTTCGACCCTTCTATTCTTGATCTTATTAGTTTCTTCGTTAATGATGTTACGGTTTGGCAACGAAGGTTCTACGGTGGCATTAAGCCACAACTAAAGTAGCCAGAATAGGCCAGCTAGCAATAAGTTCAACCCAAGTTAAATATTTTTAAGGAGTACCAGGCTGAACTCTAAAACCAAGAGAGATTTTACACTAGGTTTATCTCGAACCAGTAGAACTTTTAACTAGGTTGAGCTCAAGAATCAATGTGCATATTTTTACTGGCTAATCTTCTTGAACCAAAAGAGAGATTTTTCAATGACGGAGCTCACAAACCATACAATGACTTAGACAAATCTCTCAAATAAAAACAAGATCTTTTTCAATAGTTTAAATCCTAACCAAAATAACAACTTCCTAATGAAGAATTATTTACTGAAAAAAAACTACCCTTGATTAATTTACAATTTTGCTCTCACCCAGAACAATATCCCTCACTAGACTCAATATTCCTCTCAAAGTATTATGGCTAAAATATGTGAGAAAAATATGAAATATTTAGAGACGTGATGAGTAAAATGAAAAGTTGCGGTTTTCACTTTTTTTTATGTGAACAAGTTATAGATAAGATCTTTATTTATAGGCAAAGGCGTGATATAATCTTGGAAACAAGCCATTGGCCAATTAACTCACTTAATCAATTAGGCACCTCAAATAATCGATTATTGAGGCAAAAAATTGAAGGTTTTGATATAGAGTTGTTACCAATCATTAATAGGTCGTCATAATCAATTATAGGCTCTATAAGGCAAGAAATGCCTTTGTGTCTTTACAAGACAATGATCACTCAGTCAGACATGACCAAGCGAGCTTTTTTACACTTTCTTTCTTTTAAACTATGAAGTTTCAAGTCTTGACATCATTATCTTGACTTTACCTTTACACAAGATCCTTAAGTCTTCTTAATGATGCTTGAGATATTCCCATGTTGATTACCACCATTTGAGAGTTTGAAAGTTTAAAATAATAAGTAAACCTAAGTCTTCACTCGAGAGTTGTTGGACTATAACACTGTCTTTAAAACATGTGTTTAGCTTGATTCAGGAGGATACTGATCAATCAACTAGTACGCCTTTAATCGCTTGAGTTAACTTCAGCAGTTGCTTGACTTCAAGTGTTGTCATCATCAAAACTAAATAGCTATTAGTTGACTTGCATCTTTGCTATCCATAAGCTTCATCATATTGGATCAATTTTTGATTATACCTGCAAACACATAGATCCATATTGTTGCCATCTCTCCTCCATTAAAGTAACAATAATTGCTTTCATTATGCCTCAATATTCCCTTGAATTTCTTATGAATCCTTCTAATCCTTCTACTTTAACTTTGAATCGGTCGTAAAATTACCAATTTTGTCGCCATATCACCATTATTGTAAAAATTTTGTAGGATAATTCAAAGTTCAAACACACCAAGAAATTTGATGTGTAGGGACAAAGAACAATGACAACTAAAATAAATGGCCGAAACATCACAATAACCTGCCAAGAATGAAGACAAATACAAAAAAATCCAAAAGAATATAAAAGACAAGAATAAAAGAAACTTGTTTAACCAGTTTGGCTAAATGATCTACTCTAGGGGAGAGATCATCTCTCTGATTCACTATACATTCAAAAGTTGTTACAAGAAATTATAAAAAAGTTACAAGAAAATTAGTTATCCAAGTTCTCAAGAACAAACCCTATTTTCATTCCAAGTGTTTAAAAACCTCTTCAACTCTCTAGATGTGATTCACACAAATCCTACATGTTTAAAAGTGTTTTTCAACCCCCTTAAATACTTTTAAAGGTTTTCTAAATTTCAAAAACACAACCATAAAAATTTCTACTACATTACTATATAGTCTGAGAAGACAATATTGATAGATATGAAACCCAATAAATCCTTAATGAGTGCAAAACACAAACCATTGACAAATGAATATGAGAACCAAAACAACTAAGTCTGATACACGACAAAACTGAATTATCGTTAGACTTGACTTTTGTTTTTGCCGAACGACCAAATATTTATCAGCTTCACTGCTCTGTCACAGTGCCACTGATCGCGGTTCTTAGCACTGTTGACTTTTCAACGGTCAAATTACACCCTATAACTCCTAGCACCAACCGCCCCGCAACTCTAACATCTTTCATCAAATTTTCTACCATTTTTTGAAGTTTTAATTTCTAAGAAATTCTAATCATATCTTATTACTTTTTATCATTCAAAATTAAAATAAATAAATAAATAAAAGAAAAGTACGGTGAATCAAAATTTAAGTAATTTATTTCAAAGAATAAAAGTGTCACGCATTTCATTAAAATATAAAGTATTTTTTATCGTTAAATCTCACCGTTTCCTTCATTGATTTACTATGAGGTGGTTTTCCTTCCCTTAATAAAGAAACAACCACAAATACGATAGAATAAAATCTATATATATGGCACATGCAAACTCATCCTCCATTGCATTGAGTGAGAACAAAACAAACACAGTCACAAAAACATGGCTTCCTCACTTTCTTTGTTAACTCTACTTCTCTTCACTGTTATTTCTACCGTTAAATCCTGCCCTCCGTCAGACCGGGCAGCACTCTTAGCCTTCAAAGCTGCCCTGACGGAGCCCAACTTAGGCATCTTCAACACCTGGTCAGGCTATGACTGCTGCCGCGGATGGCACGGCGTCAGCTGCAACCCCACCACCTGGCGTGTTACTGACATTAACCTCCGCGGAGACTCCGAAGATCCCATCTTCCAGAATGTTACTAACTCCGGCAGCATGACCGGAAACATCTCGCCGGAGATTTGTAAACTTGACGAGCTTACCACCATCGTTATCGCCGACTGGAAATCCATCTCCGGCGAAATACCTTCCTGCATTACCTCTCTTTCTTCACTCCGAATTCTCGACCTCACCGGAAACCAAATCTCCGGCTACATCCCGGGAAATATCGGAAAGCTCCAGCGACTCACCGTCTTGAACCTTGCTGATAATGCAATCTCCGGCGAGATTCCGATGTCGATAGTTAGAATCTCCGCTCTCATGCACCTTGACCTCAGCAACAACCAAATCATCGGCGAGCTACCAGCCGATTTTGGAAAACTCCGTCGACTCAGTCGCGCGTTGCTGAGTCGAAACCAACTCGTTGGTTCGATTCCAAATTCGGTTCTCAAAATGAACCGGCTCGCAGATTTGGATTTATCTTTAAACAAGATAACCGGTTCAATCCCGGTTCGCCTTGGAAAAATGCGGGTTCTATCTACACTAAAACTTGATGGCAACTCTATGACCGGTAAAATACCATCCAGTTTATTAAGCAACACGGGTATGGGTATTGTGAATTTGAGCCGAAACGGGTTCGAAGGATCTATACCCAACGTATTCGGGTCAAAATCCTATTTCATGGTTCTTGATTTATCGTTTAATAATTTAACGGGTCGGATACCGGATTCGTTTTCATCCGCCAAGTTTATGGGTCATTTGGATCTTAGCAATAATCATCTTTGTGGAACTATACCAATTGGTTCTCCATTTGATCATCTCGATGCGGCGTCGTTTAATAACAATGATTGTCTATGTGGAAACCCATTGAAGACTTGTTAATTATTGGGCTGTTATTATTTGATTATTATTATTATTACGGTGAAGTGAAGATTAAGTGTGATTTTGAATTTGATGTAATATGTTTTTGTCATGTATTGTAATATTATACTATAGTGGACAAAAAATATGGGTGCAGATGTGAGATGCCAATCACATGATATGTTTATGGCTTGCATGTGAATATGTGCATACCAAAACACATCGGTCAAGCAAAGTTGGAATATTGTTGTGTAATTGCATGTGATGTGAGTTTGCTTTGCAACGTGAATGATTTGGATTATGGTCCTTTTGGTCGGGTTAGCTTTTTATTCTGCAACATAAATCCTTCATTATTTAGAGAACTTTATAATTAGATGGCCATATAATTGATATACTATGTATTCTCGGATCTCCCGATTTATAATGCGTGGGTTGTACTTATGATCATAATAGACCAATAAAAAAAACATATATATATATATATATATATATATATATATATATATATATATATATATATATATATATATATATATATATATATATATATATATATATATATATATATATATATATATATATATATATATATATATATATATATATATATATATATATATATATATATATATATATATATATATATATATATATATATATATATATATATATATTTAGGCATTACTTACTTACTTTAATTTTCAGTAAAATAAATATAAACTACGTATGAATTTAAGGAATGTGGATAACAAATTGCGCCCTTAGTTTAATTTATTCTCTTCAATATATATATATATATATATATATATATATATATATATATATATATATATATATATATATATATATATATATATATATATATGGGCACGGAACTAAGTCTATGGTATTAGGGGCAACTGCCTCCACTAAATTATTTATACTATTATAAATTAATTTAAAATATTTATTTTTCACATGAAACGCAGTATTTGTGTATTTTAAGAATTAAATATTTTTAAATAATTAAACGGTTGTTTTGTTAGATATTAAAAATAAAAACAAAAGAAAAATTATTCAATAATTTTATAATAGAATTATTTATTATAAAAAATTATATGTTTAAGTATCTTTGATTTTTTTAAATATAAAATAATAAAGTTATGATATTTTTAATTTTTTTACACAATAATATATGGTTTCAGATTGATATATTATATGGTTTCACATTGATAGTTTTAACTTTTTACCCAATTCTAACAAAAAAAACTGTGGCGATCTTGTCTAGCATTTTAGGAATTCATTTTGCGAACCATAGTTGAGTTTTGGTTGAATTAAACTAAATTTTGAAACATGATGCAAACCACAAATATGGGAACAATTATAATTTAAAGTTTTAAAATTCTGAACATAGACTTTACAGTTTCATAATAAAAATCCTTATTTGCTAAATCTCGTGGACATGGACTAAAAAGAGAAAGTATCCTATCTTAATTTCGGATCTGGTAGAAATAAAAATGAATCAATTCGAATTTTGTAAAAAAATCTTTTGAGGAATCCCATGATAAAATCCGATTGAAGACCAAAAGAAGCAACTTCATGAATAAGAATAAAATCTTGCTTAGAAAATGAGAATATTATTTATAATGCCGCGCACCACAAAATTCAACCAGTTCTTAAATAATCATCTGTTTTATTTAATTCTTAGAATCATTTATATAAAACCGGTTTATGTGTTTAAAACAAGTTTATATTTGAATCACTTTGGTTCAAAACCGTTTTCAACAAAAACTAGTTTTTAATTTAAAAAAGTTCAAAAACTGATTTTATAAAATTCAATTATATTATAATTACTTTTCTGTCGTTTACAAATTAAACTATTTATCATAAAATTGATTTATCGGTTAAATAGTTTTAAATTTGTTCATAAATTTGTAGTAAAAATATTTTTTTCCAGTTCAAAACTAATTTCATCAAAAATTAATTTTTCGTAATATTTATATTTAATGAACCGGATTTTTTCACTTATGGGTAATTAAAAACATTAATTCTTTCTATTTTTATCCATGTAACTTCTTTCTGTATAAAATGATATAATTTAATAAATAAATTATTACTAAAATTTAATTGAGAAAAAATAACAAATATTCATCATGTCAACCAAACAAAAAGAAAATGAATATGTATTCAACAAAATAAAAACTAAGCAAAAAGAAAATGAAAAAACAATTAAAGAAAAAAATGGAAGAAAGCTAAAAATAAATCAAATCTATGGAAAAAAAATTAAATCAGAGCTAAAAATCTATGTCACGGGCTCACGATTAGTTGCCAATACGTCATTGTTGTAGTTGTCGTAGTAATCATTTATATGAGTTTCCCATCGTAGTCAGGCACGGATCTACGTCTATGATATTGGGGGCAACTGTCTCCACTAAATTATTTATACTATTATAAATTAATTTAAAATATTTATTTTTCACATGATGAAACACAAGTAATGCCCTCACTAAAAAAATCAGTATTTGTGTATTTTAAGAATTAAATATTCTTAAATAATTAAACGGTTGTTTTGTTAGATATTAAAAATAAAAACAAAAGAAAAATTATTCAATAATTTCAAAATAGAATTATTTATTATAAAAAATTATATGTTTAAGTATCTTTGATTTTTTTTTTAATATAGAATAATAAAGTTTTGATAGTTTTAACTTACACAATGATATATGATTTCACATTGATATATTTTTTATATAAATATTTACAATAGTATGTACATTTTGCCCCAACTGATCAAGATTTCTGAATCCGTCCTAGTTGGACCTCACCATGAAATATGAATGTCTAACTCTAACCTATATTAGTGTATTACTTATTGCATTTTCTTTTTGCATGTGACTTCAAATGAGATGGTTTTGGGGTTGTTTACTAGTAATATTTGGTGTGGCCACCATCATTTAAATAACGTTATGATTTTTGTCACAAAAAAAAATTGGGAATATAAGACCGACGTTATTCAACTAACAGTGGTAGATATCTTACCGCATTAGATTTTTGTTAACCCAATGTTTCCTTTGAAATGCGCCTCATGTGCAGGCACGGATCAACGTCCATGGTATTGGGGCAACTACCCCCACTAAATTATTTATGCTATTATAAATTAATTTAAAATATTTACTTTTCACATGATGAAACATAAGTAATGCCCCCACTAAAAAAAATCAGTATTTGTGTATTTTAAGAATTAAATATTCTTAAATAATTAAACGGTTGTTTTGTTAGATATTAAAAATAAAAACAAAAGAAAAATTATTCAATAATTTCAAAATAGAATTATTTATAATAAAAAATTATATATTTAAGTATCTTTGATTTTTTTTAATATAGAATAATAAAGTTGCGATAGTTTTAACTTTTTTACACAATGGTATATGGTTTCACATTGATATATATATATATATATATATATATATATATATATATATATATATATATATATATATATATATATATATATATATATATATATATATATATATATATATATATATATATATATATATATATATATATATATATATATATATATATATATATATATATATATATATATATGACAACTCACAAGAGTATGAAAAAAATTGAATAACAAGATTTCATAATACACAATGTTTTAACAAATACAAGGCATAAATTTGCAGAAGTCTAACATCAGACACTCTCATAGATAGCTTCAAACTTTTCTCTCTAAAATTTTGAAGAATCATCCTCTGAACTTATGATAACTCCATGTTGGACCAGTAGTTCTGAAAGAACTCATACATAAGGAATGAAGAATGTCTTTCCCTTGTGAAAGGATGAAAGAGTCTCCTTCAGATAGTCAAACATAACTTGAGGAAGATCAATCTACAAGGTTGAATTGATAAGAAGTAGAAAATCTTTTTCAATAGGGTTCACAAAGTCTAGAGCACTGCCCTTAGGAAGCAAGTTTGAGTTCAGAATCTAATTCCAAACAATTGCATCAGAACAAAGATTTGAGACCAGAGATGTGTTAGATGGATCTACAAAAGTACGCCAAGTAGGAAGAAAGTGTTCCCGAACAAGAGTTCCTGGGATTTCTCCAATCTCCTCACAATTGATCACATTAGAAATCAAATTAGAGTTTATTATTATAGAAATACCATGCACCTTAGAAAGAATAGCACACTCAAAATTCAGCTCAACAATGGAAGCATTAATCCAAAACTCTTTGACAAGCCTTGGATAAGTGAAACCAAAGAGCATCTCAAAGTATCCATTCCAACTTTGTTCAGACACAGTCTTCTAGAAGTTAAAACCTAGCTTCACCAATTCTTCAAAATCCACAAACTTTTCATTGATGACAACTAGTTGATTCAAAGGAGAATTGACTAGAGAATTCATCTCGGGTTCCAGAAGACTAAAGAATCTTGTTAGAAAAAAGGACAAAAAATAATGTTTCACAAGACAGAGGATATAGAACCATATAGTTTGAAATCTTTGACAAGCATTGAACTATATAGTTTTTTCTATCAGAGATTAACATAAAACAAATTTAAAGCACTGTCATAGTATTGCTGGAAAAACATGAAGAATTGAAGGTTTCTCATGGAATTGTCATTTAACATAAATTCAATGATGACCTTCAATTTTTAGGACCAATGGAGTGACTTACGATATTATGTTGAAGAGCATACTCCTTATTATCAATATTGAAGAAAGATAGATTTGAATTATTACTTTCTCTCCAATAATTGATTTTTATTCCAGGATTCAAATGCTTCTTCAGAAGCAGTAATGACTAGCATAGCCAGGTTATTTTTTCTTCTGAATCCTGCCATATGTCAGCTTCATTTTAATAAGCAGTGAAGATCTTTGATATTTTGGGTTTTTATGGTAGTATTTCTCCTTGTTCTTAAGATTTGGGAAATTAGTTGAAATACAAATATTTCAGATGCTTCTAAAGTTACTCTTCTATAAACAAATATCACATCCCATTTAGCCAATTGACGAAATCTTTTGATAAG